AACCAGTGGCTGCCTGGTAAGATGAGAATAATAAATGACTCCAAGGTTATCTCACCAAAGACCAGAATATCTGGCTTGGAAAGTAACCCTTAGCAAGCATAGTTCCTTCTGCCCTTATCACACTCGGGATTGTGCCCAACTTAACACATGTGCTTTTGACGCCTTTGATTTCCATAAGGAAGCCTTGGCTCGGAGTTAGACATCCCCTTATGTGCATTTCCAGATAAGAATGATTTCAAAACCTAAGAGCCGAAATGTACATGTGCCAAGAATTCCAACACTGAATTACCTTTGAAGAATCCTTAAAAAAATAATAGCCTTGAAAATGCCTTGCAGCTACTATAGAGTCACACAGCCTTCCACGGGCAGATGCACAGATTTCTCACAGCATTTAATGACTGCTGCCCACTCTGGAAAAAATGCACTCTCGTGATGTGCAGCTACGCTCAGCTGGGATACATAACAAAATAAGCCAACGTAGTAACTTGCCTTTCTTTGTTCTTGAATGTGGAGCTTTATGTGTCAATTTTACTCTAAAAGGAGCTATGTGCTCTGTGGGCCTTTGAAAACAGATTTTATTCACTGAGAAGTTTCTACCCAAGCGCAATGTTTATACGTCTCAACAAACAACTATGCAAAAAAAACCCTCACCCTGAAACAAGTATGGCATACCTCCATGCAACTTCATGCACAAGTGTGTTGAGATTTTATATAGTTAAGTGTCATCACAACTAATTAACACTAATTATCCTATTAACACATGAAGAACAAACTTTCACGTCAAACGCAAAGCAGGATATTGGGGACTACTTACAGACTTCATGCTACAGATTGGGTGACTTTATTATTATCTTCAGTCCCATGGCACATGTACGCTTCACATCAAGAAACGCAGGCACCGAACTGCATGGTATTTATTTCTGATTTTTGTTAAAGGTATATTTGCATACACTGGTGATGGTCTGGGCATTCGAATAACTCCAGCTAGAATGTAGGAGTAGGGGAAGGGTAAACAGAGGAGTTGGATGGTTCAGACCATCTGAGAAAGGATGGGTCGCCTCTGGACTGCTTCTGGGACCCCAGGCGGGTGCAGACTGAGGAGCAGGGCCGGCTGACACAGGTCAGCTCAGTGGTCTCATTGCATCCCCTGGTGGCTGGGTGCCTACAGGAGCTGAGGATTGTCCATCCCCGTGAGAACGAGAGGGTCGGGTAAAAACTGACCAGCTGTTCTGCTGTCGGGAGGTAAGCAGGCTGGATCTGGAGTACTCGGAAGGTGAAACAATTAACTTCTTCACAATGCCAACCTCTGCATTTCCCAGAAATGTGCCCCTTTCTCGCAGTCCCTGCTGAAGGGATTCTCCAACCCGTGATACCCTAGAATTCCTCCCAGCACATTTTGCAGCCCACCATAAAGACAGCGTAGAGGCCTATGAGTAAGTGTGGGGGAGGAATGTTTCTTACTACACTTTATCCCCGTATTTCCAAACATAGCATGGAGGGAGCAGCTCCTGTTCACGCAGACTATTTTTCAGAGTGGCTTTTTGTTGTCTGCAAAGAGTGATCCTACCTTTAACACACCAGCAAGCAGATCTCTCACGGCGAATGCATGGGATTTGAAACAGAAATGTAATAATTTGCACCAATTTTCATGAGTATTAATTTCACTTTAAATAGAAAAAAAAAAAAAGGTCTTTGGAATCCACAACAGCAATTGGGATGGGGTTAATAACTTGTTTTTCTGGAAGGGAACACAGAAGTTGAAGCTTGTTACAAATTTCCAGTGGAATCTGCAACTTGAATCTAACAATAAAGGTATGGCAGATACAGAGTAATAATAATAATTAAAAAAAAGCAAATATGAATCCACTCCAAAAACCTTGTGACATTTCCTAAGAGGAGACTGTTGCCTTGTGGGGGTCGAACCGATCCACTATTTTCAAAAGCATCACTTTAAAGTCTATAAAAATATCTTGCAATGAGCATTTTTCATCAGTCACTCACATAGTCATAAAAATAGATATTTAATTAAAATTTCTCACAAGCAGTGACTGAAATCACTGCTTTCACTGATCTTGTAAAAACGAATGAACAAATATGCTTCATGGTCGGTTGTCTTTTGCAAAAGAGGGAAGTCCCACTAAGGTTAAGGAGAGTTACATCCACCGAGGGAGGAAAGGAGGGAGCAGGTCCCCCGAGGCAGCTCCGCGGGTGCTGTGAGTTAGCACAGCTCCCCGAAGTGCATTGAAGGGAGAGATTTACACCAGCAAAGAATTTCCCCCTTTCATGTTTATTGTTCACCCTGGCCTGCCACAAGATCTAATCTTATCTGTCAGCAATAGAGAGTCTTAATAGCTCATGTCCAACTCTTGGTAGCAGTTCTTTTACTCATCTGAACAGGGCATAAAACGAACCGCAAATGTCAGGTCATTGCTTCCTGCTCTTACACCACACACACCCCCCGTCTCCCGCCCCCCAAATTGCAGCACGTTCATGTTTTAGGTGTCCGGTTTAATCCAATTCACCTTCGAATGTTGTATATGCAACTCTTCCTGGAGATTCTTTTGTTTATTCATCACAATGTATCTTCTTAACTCTTTTTACTTAGTCATCTCTGCGAGAATAAAAGGTGTGGAGTCAGCTCAGTAACCAGAGGGAATCATAAATCAAATCCATACAAGAGATGCAGTCAGGTGAAAAACAGAACAGCTGCAAAACTATAGCAATAACGTGGTCAGGTTTGCAATTTTTGTACTTAAAAACCCATTTCGAGGACCGTGACCGGACTATAGGAATGGCACGATAGTATACCAGAAGAGTTTGCCTCTTATCAAATGCAATTACTTTTGTCATTTATGTCGTTCTGTCGCCTAGCCTGGCTATAAGCCAACGTCTCCTTTTTACAGTGCCCTTTTTTTTTGATCCCTTACTCTTTTTTTTACCCCTACTTTTGATATTTTTCTTTTGATATTAAAAATGAACAAAACCTGTTGACTATGAAACAGATTGTGCAGAGCAGCATTTTTTCGCTGTTGCTGAAGCCGCAGGAAAGCACGCTC